GTTATTTTAGAAGCTGCCAGAGCAATTACAGAGTTGAGTGGCGTCACAAGTCGTGAATTAACTCCAGCAATTACTGTTCTACAGCTCTTCTTAAGCTCTTCAAAGCCAGTTCTTCGATTTGCTGCTGTTCGCACTTTGAATAAGGTCACACCTTATCATATTCTGTTCTTGTAATGTTAGTATTTCGGTGCTGCAGGTTGATCAATAGTTTTTTACTACCCCTGTTGCATGTTTACTTCTATAGGTGGCAATGACACACCCAATGGCCGTGACAAACTGTAATATTGACATGGAGAGCTTGATCTCTGATCAAAACAGAAGCATTGCAACTCTTGCAATCACAACTCTCCTCAAAACTGGCAATGAATCAAGCATTGATCGTTTGATGAAGCAAATTACTAATTTCATGTCTGACATTGCCGATGAGTTTAAAATTGTCGTGGTGGAAGCCATCAGGTCATTGTGTTTGAAGTTCCCCCTCAAGTACAGATCTCTGTAAGTGATTCTGAAATCCTTTGGTATGCTTAATAATCATTACATGGTTCCGCCACTCTTCTACTTAACTAACTACTTATGTTAACTTCTCATCTGATACCAATAGGATGAATTTCTTGAGCAATATTTTGAGGGAAGAAGGTGGATTTGAGTACAAGAAAGCTATAGTTGATTCGATTGTGATCCTCATAAGAGATATTCCTGATGCCAAAGAAAGTGGGCTCCTTCACTTATGTGAATTCATTGAGGATTGTGAATTTACTTATCTTTCCACTCAGGTTGGGTTTTATCATATGTTTTTGAGGAAAGGGGTTTCTCATTTTAGTATTGCATATTCTTGTATTGCTTTTGATGCATCTTACAGTGTCTTTTCAAATGGTTTTGTGATACTTATTGGTAAACTATGTGTTTCCAGATACTACACTTTCTTGGAAATGAAGGGCCAAAAACTTCTGATCCTAGTAAATACATTAGATACATTTATAATCGGGTCATACTTGAAAATGCAACAGTTCGGGCCTGTGCTGTCAGTACTTTAGCAAAGTTTGGAGCTATAATTGACTCATTGAAGGTATGATTTGCCTAGCTCTTTTTTTGTTAGTAATTTTAAGATTTACAGTGGCTAAGATGTTCACCCAATTTTGTTGCAGCCTCGCATCTTTGTTCTGTTGAAGCGGTGCCTATTTGATAATGATGATGAGGTAAGTGTCTTACATATTTAATCATTTTTCTCTATCTCAAATCCAGATGATTTCTCCACCATGTTTATACTGATTGCATTGATTTTAATAATATATTATACAATATAAAGGTTTGCTCTTGATACCAGATACTGTACTGATTGCATTGATTGTAATAATATATTATACAATATAAAGGTTTGCTCTTGATACCAGATACTGTACTGTTATACAATTGATCGTATAATTTATCACCAAACACCTTAATTGATCATATAGTTTATCGTCAAACAGAATACTCTGTATAATTGATCACACAGATAATACTCTGCATAATATATCATGGAATACCTTAATTGATTATTGATCATATGGCCATCTACCTCTTATATTGTTGTCCTGCCCTTGAGGGATCTGATTAGGACTTTATCCGCATGCAGGTTCGTGATAGGGCAACTCTCTACTTGAATACCCTAGGAGGTGATGGTGCAGTTGTTGAAACTGATGAAGAGGTGAAGAAGTTCTTATTTGGGCCACTTGATGTCCCCATCGAAAATTTAGGAACAAGTTTGAAGAACTATGTGAGTATTTGTCCGTGCTTGTACTTTACACTTTATTTACTTGTCAATAGCCCATACTCGCTTTTATTTATTTGCTTTAAACTGATGCAGGTTCCTTCCGAAGAGCCATTTGATATCAACTGTGTTCCCAAGGAGGTTAAATCTCAACCCATTGCAGAGAAGAAATCACAGAGCAAAAAGGCCACTGGTTTAGCTGCTCCTCCTGCTGGTCCCACATCAACTATTGATGTATATGAAAAATTACTTTCATCCATACCAGAGTTTTCAAGCTACGGGAAGCTTTTTAAGGTTGCACCGAGTTCATTTTCTTTGCATTTTAATTAATATTATTGATTATTCTTGTAAATTAATTGCTGAGTATGTGAGATCTGTTTTTGGATTTGTCAGTCATCTGCACCCGTGGAACTTACAGAAGCTGAGACGGAATATTCAGTCAATGCAGTGAAACACATATTTGACAGCCACATTGTATTTCAGTACAATTGCATTAACACAATTCCTGAGCAGTTGTTGGAGAATGTAATAATAATATGTTTTTTTAAATAGTTTGACATCATACTTTGCTACTAGCGTGCTCTTAACTCTTGATTTGTGTTGCCAGGTCGCTGTTATCGTCGATGCTTCTGAAGTCGAGGAGTTTTCGGAAGTAGCTGCTAAACCCCTCAGGTCCCTTCCATATGATACACCAGGACAGACATTTGTAGCATTTGAGAAACCTGAAGGAGTGCCTGTATTAGGGAAATTCTCAAACACATTGAGGTTCATTGTTAAAGAGGTGAAACCAGTTCTGATTTTTTTTTCCCTTTTCAATTCATGATAGGATGTTTGAAACTAGTGAAGTTGCTTTGCATATAAAGTATTGTGTGCAACACGGTTGGAGGGGGGGTGGGTGGGTGGGGGTAGAAACAGCATAATCTATGTCACCTTTAACGACAAGGACACATGGGGAGAAACTCAGCACACGACCCACCCTTGACAATATCCCTAATATGTAGATTTAGTGTATGTTTGGGATTTTCAACAATAAGTATTTTTATAGGAAAATGTTTGGAATGAGAAAAACGGGCAATTAATTCAAAAAAATCATTTTGTGTGCTTATTTAAGAAAACACTTCTTAAAAGTGCTTATAACAGAAGTCATCCCAAATAGGTTCATAAATGTATTCCTATCCTTAGAATTGGTTGTTGACACTTATTTTTTTTAACAACTAGGTCGACCCAACTACTGGTGAAGCTGAGGATGATGGGGTGGAAGATGAATACCAACTAGAGGACCTTGAGGTGGTTGCAGCGGACTATATGCTTAAAGTTGGGGTCTCCAATTTTAGGAATGCATGGGAAAGTTTGAGCCCAGATAGTGAGCTTGTGGATGAATACGGTCTTGGTCGTAGAGAAAGCTTGGCTGAGGCTGTTAATGCTGTCATTAATCTCCTTGGTATGCGACCTTGCGAGGTCAGTGCCCCCTACTCTTCCTTCTTTATGTTATTTTGAAACGGGATTTGTTTCTAGAAATTAGCAGTATTTCTGTTGTATATTCATGGCGTCTAAAGGTGCCTCTTCCTCACACAGAGGAGAGAGAGACAGTTGTGAAACGGAGTAGATTATAAGCATTATATATTTGGTATATGAGAGGGAACAGAAGAAGAGAAGGAAATGACGCGTTATGAATTTTAAAACAAATAATTCTGGAGAACTACTATGTTTGGGTCTTTGTAGGAGTAACAAAAAGTTATGAGACCCACATTATAAAACTATCTTCAATGGTAAATATTTAGTCGATTGAAGACACATAAAACCATCTCAAATAATTATTTTCTCCTTTGTACTGAAAAGCGCACATAAAACTATTTCGAAGCACACATGTACTTGTTGTATAAAGTAATTCACTCCTGCAATTCCTTTTTCTTACATCTCCACTCAAACAAACAAATGTGAGGAACTCTCTTTATGGAAACCTCCTCTCTGCCCCTTATATGTCAGATGTACCACTTGCTTACATCTCACCCCCCCCCCCCCTTCACACCCTACTTTCGCTCGGGACAATTGGGCATGCACATGTTTGGTTCAACTCCCTCCGCCCCTAAAAGAAGTTATCGTTTCTTTTTTTTTTTCACGGAGTAAGAGAAAAAGTAAAATTGTATGGTTGAAGATGATGCACATGAGAGAAATATTGTCAACCACTCATTTCTTCCTCTAAATGGAATGATAATTTATTTTTCGGGACAGGGGATATTTAGCTTCATGCAACTCATTTTACTAGAGATGAACTTGGGCATATTTGTTTTTCTTTCTTTCAGGGAACGGAAGTGGTGCCAAACAATTCAAGGTCACACTCTTGCTTACTGTCAGGTGTCTACATAGGCAACGTGAAGGTGCTCGTTCGGTTGGCATTCGGAATCGACGCACAGAAAGAGGTTGCCATGAAAGTTGCCGTTAGATCTGATGATGCATCTGTAAGCCCCGCAATCCACGAAATTATTGCAAGCGGTTGATCTTTCGAGCTACAACGAGAAGAAGGTTAAAACGGGCTTCGCCTGCGACACCCTTATTAATATTTTGTGTACNTGTCTGAGTGAGTGCGTTATTAAATTATACATATTTGTATCTCAAAGTGGCTGACATTTGCATAATTTGGGCACTTATTATTCTATGTTGTAATTTGAGAACGGAATACGAAGATAATAATAATAAGTACCAAGAAAAGATATACGGAGTTCGATTGTTTTCTGATTCTTGTCATCTCTTGTATTACTATACTTGACTATTTTCCCTTTTTCTTAAAATTCGTACAATTTAATCGGAAAAAAATCGACGTGGATGAATATTCCACGACATTAGTACTCTCTTCATCTAGATTTAATTTGTCTGTTTTCTTTTTTGGTCTGTCCTGAAATAATTTGCTTCAATTCTACCTTTTGCTTCTACTCCGTTATTTGTGTTCTTGCACAAATGAATTGCCTATTTGTGTTACTTTTGTGATCAAACTTTAACTTTTTTGCCTATTTGTGTTTGGAGAGGAACTTTACATGTTCATGTACTCATGTCTTCCTTTCCAAAAAAGAAAATTAGAGAATTGTAAATATATTTTTTCTGTCCCACAATAATGTTTCACAATTAATTGGGTACGAAGATTAAAGAAAGTGAAATTATGTGGTTTATCTAATATGAAGAGTGTAACTTTATTTTGGGACATTGTCGAATATTATTACGGGACGAAGGGGGAGTATTTAAGATACAAGAAAAAATGAAAATTCAAATTTGATTATGAGATAGAGGGAGTGTAATTTCTAGAACTTGAAGTAGATGATGGCATGGTGCTAATGCATTACATAGTGAAATGTCTTCTAAAAAATGGAGAAGAAAGCAGACAAACGTTTTGGTCACTCCATGGGACACTATAAGATGACAAAAATACAGAAAATGAGAGAGAAGATACAGTTACATACATGTTTCAAATTTCTTATATTTGAGCCATGGTGCACACCAATGTTCCGGAAACTCCACGAAAACCTTCCGGACACATGCCAACCATTCAAAAAACGACATCTCCTCGTGTCGTGTCTTCCCTTTGCGTGTTTCCGCAATATATGACATTCGGTGGCCATGTTTGGAACTCGGAATATGGCTATGTTTTACTCAAGAAAAAAAGCAAAGCAGAATGGTTTTGTTCTATAATACAGTACTATAATACACAAATGTTCAACCCCACAATAATTGGTACATCTATAGCAACTTAAAGTATCTGTCTTCTCCCTCATGTGCCATTATCATCATCATAAATGCACCCATTATAACCTGCAACAACACAAACACAGTGCACAAACAGATGCAATTATTAATATTAGACAATTATTTTTGAACCCTTTCTAATTTATTTAAGTATTATTTAGAGAATAAAAAAGTTTAAGTACTACATTGAGCAAGGACACATGTTTTAGTACTTTTTTTTTGAAGGCATGTTTTAGTAGTATTTAGTGCAAATTTCATCATTATCATTCGGAAAAGTAAATACTCCATCCGCCCTATATCTTTCTTCCAATTTGACCCTTTACAGTCTTCAAGATAACACTCTCACCATTAACAACTATGTATGTATGCATAGATTTACCGAGTGTCTTATATAAAATATGACATTTTAAAACTACATCTCGAAACAAATCCATTGATCTTAAGTTTATATCATAGTATCTCGATGTCACTTCTCCGAGTTTCATAGTCAGCATTTATACAGTTTGACGAAGAAAAGTCAAGCGGGAAAATATATGTAAACTACGGAGGGAATAACGGGATTCAAGAATTAACAAAAAAAAGAGAAGAGAGAACTATCCTCTATATACACTTACAAGGATGATTTGGAGTGAGTGGGAAGGTCTACAAGACATTCCCGTTCCAACGCTTCGTCCTAAACATTTGATGAGATAGATTAGATAAGAGCGCACTAATTCAAATGATTTTCTAGTAAATTGTATGCAGTAAATCAAACCGACCTGCTTGATAAGCTGGTGGGAGTGGATTAGCCACAGGATTTGCCACAGTTGCTGCGGGTGTTACCACTGAAATAGGAGGAGGAGTTGTCGCTGCAGGTGTTACTCCTGAGATAGGAGGAGGAGTTGTTGGAGCCGGTGTCATCGGTGGTGTCACTGGAGAAGGCGCCGAAGTCTACAAAGCAGACAATTCATCAAGAAACAAAAAAACATACCATAAATGATCATTCAAAATCAAAACTAAAGGTTTTCTTTCGGTACTATTCGAGTTCTATGTGTTTTTAACATTACTGAAGAAAAAAAACAAAGCAACAACAAAAATTCCGAAAAACAAAATGCCATCAAAGATTGAAAAGAATCTTCAATGAAGCATTTACCTGAGAAGTGTTCAAAAAGAGGCCAACTTCATAGGTCGAAGAACGATTCGGTTGGAACAACCCAAATGACTTTTCAGAGAGAGCACCGGGCTTCAAGTCCTCGTCGTAGAGGGAAAAGATGTACGTGTCGACGGGTTTCCCAGGCATTAGTGGGGTCCCAACCTTAGACCTGAGATGATTTATCAAGTTCCCGTTATACGCTCTTGCATTTTCCACAGTGGCGCCTGCTTCAGTGGCTTCACCTTTGGAAGGCCAGCCGGTTTCAGCAACTACAATCTCAACCTCCTTGAATCCCATTGCGTTCAAGGCTGAATATACTGCATCCACCTACATGCACATGGTATTTTTTTGTTGGGTGAAGCCTAAATAGAATTTGGATTTTTTTGATATCTCAATTGAGAGATATAGGCTTTGATATACTCCCAAAATAATATTCCTTCTTTTATTTTTCATCCGTCCCAAAATAATCTTCGTTTTCCTTAAAAGGAAATAAATACGTGGCCAAAAAAGCTTCTCTCTCTTCTCATTAATTTCTTGATCTCCTTGAAAAATCAAAGAAAGACGATTTTTTTTGGGACGAAGGGAGGATCTCTCGACCCCCATTGCCGCTTGTGACTAAGAATCATATCAAGTTTCAAATTTCTCCAAACACTTACATTTCAGATTTCAAAACGCATAGCATTTATTTTTTTTTTCAAATTTCAAAAATCAAAACTCATCTCATATCAATCCTGCTTCGCTCACCAAAAAGCCAATAATTAAAGGCTCTCACCTGAGCATCAAACATATTCATATATTTTTTGTTGGTATATGCATCGACTCGTCCTGCATTGTTTTGGAAGAGACAGAAGGCCAATGTTTCGGGCCTTTGATCGCCCTGGTATGCAAAGTAAGGGTAGGGGTTGATCATGAAAGGGCAACCGTTGTCTTGGAAGAACTGCAGCCATGATTTCATTGTGTCAGCTGACTTAAATGTCCCCGACGAGGGTGGGTCCGACTGGCTCAACACTTCCATTGCGTGCACCGTCGACACCTTCACTTTCTTGCCAATTCCTGAAAGAAGAAGAAAAATGTCTTTGGTACAAAAATCAATCCAACTTTTCTTTGAGGGAAAGTCATGCCATTATTGATTACTTGCAAACAAGACTATATGCTTGCTGCTTCTACTTTTCTTTTACAAAATTTAAGTTTACTTAAGAGGACATATACAAAGAAAATGGATTTTTTTTCATGGAAACATTTTCCCTATTTCCCTTTCTCTTTTTCATACTAAGGTGCCTTATTTACAAATTGGCAAACCAATAAGACACCTTATAAGATGACTGAAATGGACATTTTTTAATATCTCCTTCCAATTTTGCCATTTGTATTTTTTTCCCTGTTTATCAGTAAAGCCCCAAAAAAGAATTAACTAAGGATCCGTTTGGAAAGATGAGAAATGACTCCTGGAACATGATTTCTGAAGAATAAATTCATTTCTAATACTTCGGCTGAAAGTTTGAAAAGTGAAAAAAAAATACAGAATAATTTTTATTGTTATAACATAATAAAAGGTGCTAAGTGAGTGGGAAAATTGTGCAAATGTCTTTGAAGAAAACAAAAATTATTTTCCTCCAATTAAAAACTCATTTTCCATTGCCTACAATATTTTCAGAACTGCAAAAATCAACAAAGCTACCTGCTGCATTGAGGGCATTTTGGACATTCTGCATAGCAGGCAAGAGACTGGAGATAATATTCTGATCCACTGACCTCATGACCTCATTACCCACGCTGACGACGATGATCTCACTCCCCGGATAAGCCAATACATTACTATTGACCCACTCACCCGCAAAGTCCGGGTCGGATGCAAGCGCCGGGATGTCGCCGTTGGCGGCGCCGACCACAATCCCGATGCCGGTGTTTGCCAGCGCCTTGATGATATCGGGGTCGGCGCCGTACAGCCTCACCTTCTGAATGATGGTCGACTTGAGCAGCCTCGCCGTCTCTGTCACCGGCGGCAAGTTGTCCGCCACCGTTCCGTAGTTGACGCCGATGAAAGATTCCGGCCCTGATGCACAAACACGAAACTTAATTTTTTTAAAAAATTAATTTTTTCCTGATAAAGACGAAATCTTTTTCTTTTTCCTTTTGGAAACTTACTTGCAGAAGAGATAAATTGCAGGACAAAGAAAAGAATGAATATAAATGAAGGCTTCTTGAGATGAGAAGAAGAAGAAGAAGAAGAAGCCATTGTTCTTTGGTATCGGAACAAAGAATTTCAAGTTTTAAATTTTAATTGACAGAAGAAGGAATTGATAAGAAATGGGCAATCTTTAATGGAAAAGAAAATGGAGAAATCTGTGGGATCGGAGTGGCAAGAAATGAAGATATTTAACCGTTGCCGGCGAGTAGAGTTTGGCTAGGGAAAGTAAAAAGTGTATGGGGGAGGAGGAAGAAGGTAAATAATTGTTTTCGTCTTCTTCGGCATCTTCTTTATACGAGGGCGTGGGGAAGAAGGTAAATTATGAAGTTACTGGCAATCTTTTTCACCGCTCCAGTAACCGACCAGATCGAAATCTACCCCTTTTCTAACACAAACGAGGGCAATCAAGCCTATGCTGCGCTTGTTCGAGTAGAAAATAGTCAAAATACACTCTACCTTTTTTTGTTCAGTAATATTTTTGATTTTTTTTGATAATTATTTGATAAATAAAATATGTTTAAACTTATACTCCTTCCTCCACAAATAAATTTTTCGTTCACTATTCACAGGGTCAAACTTTATTCACTTTGTTGGCCTATTTTCATCACACATTTGATAAAATAATATAGTCGTGTCATCTCTAGTTTTGTAGATCTTTTGATATAGTTTTTTAATATGTAATTTTTATTTTTCAATTCTACACCATTTTTCATATAAAAAGATTTGAAAATAACTTCAGTCAAACATCGTAACGCGCAATGTAAAGTTTATTTGTGAACGAAGGGAGTATGTTTTTATTTATGTATTAATTTTTTAAATTTAAATGAATTTATAAATTAATAATTTTTTGGAATTTATGTATTTAAATATTACTTCCTTTATCTCTAAAATATTGACATAATTTAATTTTTTTTGTCAAACTGTGGCACCTTTTAACCGTAAATTTTGGAAAATGTATATTTAGTTATAATGTAAATTCAGTAAAATTGGATTCATTTTAAAATATGGTTTTGAAATAGCAAATTTGTATATTCCGTAATGTTTGATTATTTTAAGTTATATTTAGTTCATGGCCAAATAAGTCAAATTATGACAATCTTTTAGCGATAAGGACAATACAAAAAAGCAGATCTTATAAAATTAATTAATTTAATAAGTAATTACTGAGAATAAGTAAAAAAAATAACCCCTGAATAATATGTGTGAATTTGGTTTGGAGAGAGGAGTGTATGATATTTTTTAAAGTCATTTTCCTTTAATCTAAACTCAATTATGGAACAGAAAAACTCACGTATGAAAATAAAAAATGCATCCACTTTCATGTTAATGCTCTGGTACATATTTATCTTAACATTAAGCCATTCGCATACGAAGATGTATATATACCTTAAATGCACATAAAAAGTTACTTCCTCCGTCCCTAAATATTTGCCACACTTGTATTCCCGAAGAAAAAAATATCAAAGTTTTTTTAATTCATTTTATTTACATATTGGTATAGAAATAAAAAATAAATTTATATATAAAAAAACTACATGAAAAGTTCTTTGAAATAAGAGGTGTCAAGAATATTTTATTTTATCAAATAACCAATGAAAATGTAGAAATAAACAAAAGTTCCCGCAACTGCTGAAAAAGTAAATGTTGCAAATAATTTGGGACGTCTCTTTAAGAGCTTATCTCTTTAAGAGGTAATGATTAAGAATCTCATATATATCCCGCTGCCTTTTAAATAAAAATCATTTTACTCATTTACCTTGAGTATGTTTTAAACATATTGAGTAATGAAACATGTGCGCTTAAAATTCATTTAAAAGAAATATATTTTGAATGAAATGTTCCTAAAAATACTTAATGGTAAAACATGGCATAAAAACATTTAATTTGGCCATCTAATGTGAAATTATAAAAATGACATAAAAACATTTAATTTAGCACAAACCTAAGGAATAACCTTAGTTGAAAGTCATACCATACGTTACCTACCATGCAACTTTTTTTGCCCAAAAGAAACTCCACTCGATCTTTTATTACCGCATATATTTCCTTTCATTACCATATAAAATTTGTAATCTAAATATAAATATACTCCATAAAAAATGTTGAAATACATTATTTGAAAAAAAAAATTATTCTTAAATTTTCTTGTGGGAAAATAAGAAAATTATAAAATTTATTTTGAGATATCTAAAATTGAAAAAAAATGTAAAATTTATTCCCAACCAAGAGAATTTAATATTGCCTTCAAAAAAAAAAGAGAATATAATATTGACCTTCTTTGCTTAGCTTAGCCATCTCAATTTGGTACCTATCGCCATTATCTCCTCTCAATTTCCCACCACCTTCTCTAACAAAAAGTTTAGTAGTCGTTTGCCTATTGACCGGCTTTTGTGTTTGAAACTCATTGCCGCTAAGGTTCCAATTGTGCCCAAACCACTAGACCTCATGCTCTCCATTTTCAAAAACAATACAATACTTTTCTAGAAGGAAGACGGAATGAGAATTTAATTAGAAAATTAAATAATTTTAATTTATTTTTGTCACTACTAATTCAAAATCCACGTATTTTTGTGCTACCAAACAACAGAATTGGAATTATTGTCCCAAATTCTAATTTCATAGTTTAAATTTCGAAACGAGGCCTTACAATTGATGGATTGAGCTATCACATAAAGGGCCGGTTCGGTACCCTCAAGGCCTCAACAGGCCGACCTAGCACGGTTCAACAAATATGCCTCCACCTAAAGACAAGTCAATCAAAGACAAGGTGCCGGTGGCGTTGCCCAGTTGGCGACGCAAGGAGCGCCTAGAAGGTAAAATCCGAGTTCGATTATTGGCAATTGCGCTAGGATGCAACAATGTTAAGTATATGGTTTTTGGCTCTCTGCAAGTATCAGGTGCATGCTCTATTCTTTGATACCAATCAGCAATCAAAGTTCGATTTATCTCTTCGACTGTTAGGCTGGATCACAGGAGACTCGGGATGTGGCTCATCCTTTTCTTGTCGATCGGAGATAAAGTTGCAGGGAATAGTAACATCAGAACCGATTACCGATTCTGTACAGAAAAATCATGCTAAATCACCATTGGAAAGGTAAAATAGCATTTAGCTTACCAAAACTTAGCACATGCCTTGGAATTATGGATTGAGCTATCGGATAGAGGGCCGGTTCGGTACAATGAACAGACCGGCCTAGCACGGTTCAGCAAATACGCCTCCTCCCAAAAAGTCAATCGAAAACAGGTTGCCGGGAATAATAGCATCAGAACCAGTTACCGGCTTCTGTACAGGAAAATGATGAAAGGCGGCGGTGGCGCCGCCGCTACTGGCGGTGCTGCATCAAAGAAGAGACATCGAGTCGGTATCAGCGGCCGTCCCTCCACCGTCGCAGCAATCGACTCATCCCGTCTCGATGGAACCATATCTGAATGTTCTCAAAGAACACCTTCTCTTCGACGCACCCCTTCTCACTCTCATATTCCGAAATCTGTACGGGGTTCGTTCAACGATCCGGCCTCCGCTGACGTAGTCCTCAGGCTCTTTGCTGATTGGCCGTTCGTTGACGATGACGCCGGCTCGATCTCAGCCGTTGATTCTGTCGACCAGCCTGATGTCCAGATCTATCTTCACTCCGATGTGCTCCGCCGTTCCAAGTACTTTGCGACTCTTTTGTCAGAGCGCTGGCTAAACGAGTCAAACGACGCTGCTGATTCTGGAAGCCCATCGAAGATTATCCGGCTTAATCTGGGCGTTCCTATGCCTGGATCAATTGACGATCACGTTACTGTTCTTCAACTTCTATACACAGATGACTTTTCGGAAGCCATAGATTGCGTTTCTAAAGCTCTTTCAATGCTGGATGTAGCTCTGAAATTGATATTTGATGACTGTATTAAGGCTTGTGTAAGGTTCATCGAGGCTGTTCCATGGACGGAAGAGGAAGAGCAGAGAATATTTAATCTAATTCCATTAATAGGGGACTTGGGGATTGAAGAATCAAAAGAACTCCTTGTTAGGGTTGCACCTATGAAGCACGATTCATCCGAGGACATGCTTCATGGATTGATTCTCTCCGCAATTCATAACCACACAAACATGGCTAGCGCGAAGGCTTTTGTTGCCAAGCTTTTGAGGGACTTCTCATCCAAGGAGCTGGCTAGGAGGGTTCTTGATCGCGTGTTTGAGGCAAGCTTGAAGGTCATGAAAGAGTCGCTGGAGGAGTACTCGAGTCCAGCCTTTAGAGGCGATCAAGACGAGACAGAGGCCATTCAGAAGCTGAATTTGCACACTGCTATGACGAACGGGAGGCATCTACTGTGGTTGATTGAGAGGATGATTGAATTGAGGGTGGCCGATTCGGCTGTGAAGGAATGGAGCAATCAGTCTTCATTTACTGCTGATTTGCAAAGAGCATTCCGTGATGATGCGTGGAGGAATATTGTTCCAGGGTTTCCTGCAGTTGTGCTCCGGTGCACTTGCAAGCTTGCTAATGCTGTTGCAGCCGGGACCATCCTGGCCAATAGACAGGTTTCTCTTCGAAACTGGATTTTCATTATACTCCGTATTAGTTAACAGAAAAAAAGGCACTGGTTTAACTGGCTCTGTAAAATGAATGTGCTTGCATTTGATAAGGTGTTCACATGACTGAAGATCCCCCCTCCCATAATGAACTTCACTATAATTGTTTCTCAGTTGGCTATCCCACAATCAAAAGAACACTGTGTTCATTTTCATGAAAGAACTGTAAGGTGATCCTTTTTTTTCATTCCTTTTTAATTGGAAAGTTAATCTCAGTCACACAATTTCGCTTTCTTAATGAGAATGTCTAGATCTTCTATGAACTTTTTATTAGGATATAGGAAGTTTGCTAATGCTTCTTTCTATGTAGGCAATAAATAGAGAGCTTCATATCCAAACATTGTAGTTTGAACTTTTTCAAGTTGGTTTCATTTTTTTTTGTTGATCATTCATGGGTTTGTTCATTTGCTGCAATTTTTTACTATCACATGTAGCCTCTGTTAAACACCTCATGTTCTTATTTTTGGGGGTGGGAATGGAATGTATTCTTCAGGCAAACCACTGATTACTAGTTTGTATTCCGGGCATTGTTTAAAATGCTTATTTGCATGAGTTGATTAGAATGCTTGTTTACATGTGTTGATTTCCGTTACGAATTTAGAACATGGCATATGAACCACTTTAAGTGCAGATTATATGTAATAATGTTAGTAGATTATAAGGCCATTTTGGTATTGCTGTGA